GTGAAATCCCAAACCTTAGCCCCCAAAGCTCAAACCCTCCCTCAGAAAGCCCATGACCCTGTTAGGAGCCTTAGGGTAGGGTCTTCAATCCCGAAACTGCCGAAACTTAGCAATAACCTGATTGATCTAGGCCCAGCGCACCCGCCCCTAAACCCTAAACCCTAAACCCTAAACCCTAAACCCTAACCTTCATCCCTGGACCCTCAGCCCCAAGAAGAGAATTTTGGGTCCCCAAAGTCACACTACTCTTGTATATTCTTGTGCAGAGCCTTAAAGGGGTCTATATAAGGGTTACTATAAGGGGTCTAGAAGGGTGCTGTCATCAGGGGGCTTTAATAATTAGAATACAGGATTTTGGGGCCCATTATACCATAGTTGTAATGAGGAACCCGAAACTACATTATTAAGGCCCCTATATTATGGGGTGATCATTTTGGACTCATGAGTCTCAGGGCTGCTCCCGGTTATAGCCTATACTACTTGGAGGGGCAGGGGACTTAGTAAGTATGATTATAAGTAGACTTATAAGTACCCTAAGTGGACTTACCCCAATTATAACCCTACTTATAACCCTACTTACTAAGTCCCCTGCGCTTCCAAGTAGGGCCTCTAGAGGACTTATAACCCCACTTACAGCTACCCATGAACCTTAGAAGTGGAGTGTTCTTGGGTATGTAGGGCTGGGAATGCTGGGGCCGCTTCCATTGTTTGCAGAACAAACTCCCGGACGCGAAGCGCTCCACTTCACGTTCATGGGGCCTGGGGCTCTATAGGTTTAGGGTTTAGGCTTGAGGGCCCTAAACCCTGAGACCTAACCGTAGACCCTAAACTAAACCCTGAGAGTTTTGGGATTCCAGGGTTTTAGTATTTAGATCAAGGCAGCCTTTGGGGCTCCGACAGCCCACCCCAGGAGTTGCCTCCAAAGACGTCTGGCGAAAGCTTGGGGTTTACAGCAGGGATGGTTTGCACTGTGATTCTCTCCATTGCTGGCTTCAGGTGAACGCGAGGACCGCTAGGATCAAAATGCAAATTCTATACCATGCACTCCCAGGCTTTAACCGCCAAGTATAGATGTCCTGCTCCGCACCATAGGCCCTAGACCTCGAAACACATCTGCAAGGTGACCCGTGCGGAAAGCGTACCGATCGAGGGTGTCTACGTTGCAGTAATGGCTTCGGATGAACGCCAAGCTTAGCCTTTGGCCATGGGTGGAGAGTGGTGTGGTCTTTCCGGGACAGGGTCGGGTGCTCACACTAACCAAAAAGGGGGGCGCGGATTTTTTGCACGACGGCACTGAATCGTTGCAGAGGAATCTACTTGCAAGATTTATGTAGACACTTGGTGTATGAGCCCCGCTCCCCTTGCAAGGATGATCACAGAGATGTTGCTTTTGTGGTCGTTATGTCTTACATACTTAAAAGAGCGCTGGGTTTTCACCTGGGTCTACATTCTTGCAGATCTAAACTCTCAATCCTACACCCTACGCCCCAGATCCTAAACCCAAAAACCTAAGCCTCAAAGGCGTGTATAAAACCTCAAGGGCGTTTAGTGGTTTGACCTTTGGGGCATCTAGGATTCGGCTGAGGGCTTCCGGATTCGGGCTGTTAGAGCTTGAAGTAAAATGGCTTCGAACATACCCCTACTTGGAGGCCACCCGGGAAGCTGCCTCAGAGAACTTCACGTGTAGGTCCCTGGGTTTAGAGTTTGTCGGACTTCAGGGTTTAGGAGGAATTCTTTGGCGGAGAGGATCATTCTCATCGGGAATTTGCACTCTTTGGGATTCTCAGTGGGCAAGGCCTGTTTCAATTCTACTTGTTCAACAGTCTGTCATGAAAGCCCCCCTTCTAACGGTATATAGTTGATGGGAATCCCTCTTACAATGACCTTGGGTCCTGAGCGGACCACAGTTCGAGCAGCCTTCAACACATGCATCCAGGTTTGCTGCATGTTGATCTCACTGCCAGTGAAATGGAGTGCTAATTCTGAATAGCTCTTTTTCTCGTCCAGCTCGAAGGGCTCAGGTGGGCCATTTTTGCGTCGGAGAGTACTGATGTGCTCACTTTTGTTCACCACAAGGTCTTAGGGGTACTTAGAAATCATTTTTAATTTGTGGTTATTATAACCCCTAAGAAACAGCCAACATGATAATTTTTGCTAGGGTTCTAAGTTCAGTATAGAGGTAACGTGTGGGAGCACCGATGGGAAGCAGGGGCCGGACACTGCATCGTATACGTAGAGATTCCACAATCCCTTACCTAATTAATGAATATGCCTCATAAGTGATACTAGGAGCCCTAATAAGACTTCAGGTATATACCCTAAGTGAGGGGTTTTGGAATGTCTGGGCCCTGAAACCAAAGGCTTACACAAAAGCTCTTCGAGTCCTAAGCTGTCGTTGTGGGCTTGTCTAAGGCACAGCAAAGTGGCAGGAGTTCATGGAAGCCGTGGAGGACGTTGAGTTTTAGGGGTTCGGATGGAGGGCGCAGGGTTCCGGGCTACGATTTTTGGGTTCAGGGGTTAAGTGAGGGTTCGGGATTCATGTAGTGCTTGGCCGTTTGTGCGCCACAGATTTGTGGGGAGTAGGGTTGACACGTTTCTGTGGAGGGAGTTAATGTGCCTAAAGTGATGTCCTTACCTTCTTAGGTCCTGAATGAACCCCATCCTAAATCCTAAACCCTCAGCCATACACCCATCTACGCCCTATAGATACTGAACCCGAAATCTGAAGCCGAAACTCTAAACCCTGGAGCCTAAGCTCTAAATCTGGATCCTAAACTCTAAATCTGGAGGCTAAACTCTACATCTGGTGCCTACTTGCAGGGGCAGGGGACTTAGTAAGTAGGTTATAAGTAGAGTTATAAGTGCCCTAAATGGAGTTACCCCAATGCTAACCCTAGTTATATTCCTACTTACTAAGTCCCCTGCCCCTCCAAGTAGACCCTGAAGCCAAACTCTTCACAGCTCATGGCGTCGGAGCGGGAAATAGAAAGCCGAAGCCCTAAACCCTAAACCCTAAACCCTAAACCCTAAACCCTAAACCCTAAACCCTAAACTCGCGAGTACAGCCCCGCACCTGGCTGCTACGACGTGAGTGCCTGGATCCATGAGGACACGGGTTTAGGGGGTTTAGATGGGTTTAGTATTTGGGGCTTAGGGTTTAGGAGGTTTAGATGGGTTTAGTATTTTGGGGCTTAGGGTTTAGGAGGTTTAGATGGGTTTAGTATTTTGGGCTTAGGGTTTAGGAGGTTTAGATGGGTTTAGTATATCAGGGCTTAGGGTTTAGGGGTTTTAGGGTTCGGGGGTTCAGGATGCACTTCGTAGTTTCGTGTATAATAAGACTAGGTTCTGGGCAAACATAAGCCCGAAACTCCAAACCATTAAATTGAACCAAACCCTAGACCCCTAACTATATGGGCACGACCTCGAAGCTTGGAAGCCTACAGCCCACAAGCCCAAACTCGAGCCTACGACGTCCTGTGGATATCGTAGGGACGCTCAGGGGGGCAGGGGGGGACTATATTTCCTTCAGCAGGCCTTTTTTAGGTCCTTATTATGGGCATTAAGAAAAGTATGGCTTAGGGTTCCCTTTTTCAGGGTACTGTCGGTTTATTTATACTAGGGTGCCTTCGAGAGATCTATAAGGGTGCTGGAAGGGGGATCATGGGACTTAGTAAGTATGGTTATAAGTACCTTGATTTGGGTGACAAGTATTTATAAGTATTGATACCTGCATGATAACCCTAGTTACTGAGTCCCATGATCCTTATGTAAGGCCCCTAGAACTTACCCAGTCAATGGGAGAACTTTAAAACTTGTTGGCCCTATATGGTCTATCTTAGAATGATTGAACTGTTTGGGACCCATTGTTGAAGAAGGGAGAGAGAGAGAGAGAGAGAGAGAGAGAGAGAGAGAGAGAGAGAGAGAGAGAGAGAGAGAGAGAGAGAGAGAGAGAGAGAGAGAGAGAGAGAGAGAGAGAGAGAGAGAGAGAGAGAGAGAGAGAGAGAGAGAGCGAGAGACAGAGAGAGACAGAGAGAGACAGAGAGAGACAGAGAGAGACAGAGACAGAGCGAGAGATTCAGAGTGTCAGAGAATGCACGCCATCAAGCACCTATGAAACCATATGCGATTTGTTTGAAACCGATGTCGAGTCTGCTTGTCTTGGGTCCCAATTATCGGAGCTTGAGAAGCAATGGAGATACAATTTCAGACAAAATCCATGTCAGGGCTTCTCAAGCTGCTTCAACCCCCGCCCGGTTGTATGGTCAGTCATGAGTCATGGTCAGTCAGCAAGACGGCAGACTTAAACCCTCAACCCCAAACCCCTAAACCCTAAACCCCTAAACCCTCAACCCTAAACCTCTAAACCCTAAACCCTCAACCCTAAGCCACCTAAACCCAACCCGAAGTTTTCGACTTCGAAGCCACAACTCCAGACCTTTAAACAAACCCGTTAACCCGTAACTACGGTTTAGGGTTTAGGGCTGAGGGTTTAGGGTTTAGGGGTTTAGGGGTTTAGGGCCCTTAGGGCTTAGGGTTTAGGGTTAACCCGTAACCTTAAAACCCACTGTACCCTGCACCCAGGATCCCGAAACCTCTTAACGCTTAACCCCCACTCCGGAGCGTATACCTTAGAAGCTGCCCCCACCCTGTAATAGTGGTATACTAGGAATATACTAGGGCCCTAATATAATCCTTTATAATCCTTATGGTCACTATTACAGGGTGGGGGCAGCTTCTAGCGTCTACCCGGTCTAGCCGCAAGCCTGGAAGCTCTAAACACCGAAACCCCGGTTCCAATTTAAAAGCCTGAATGTTTATACCAGTGCTACTTCTCAGGATTCGTAGTTTCATGATCTTAGTATACGAATCGCATACCGCAAGGATGTGATACTGATTATTCAAGTAGTACAATCTACCCCCACTTATTCTATCTTATACTGCTTATTGAAGCCCCTCTGTTAGTCGCTGGATCTGTGGTCCGCGAGGAGCCATCTGCTGGCATGGAGCATGAGGAGCGCCGTGTCTCGGAGGCACGCAGGCGCCACAACTTTCCAAAGAGGCTTTAAAGGGAACTCGAGAAAGTTGGAATATGGATTACTGGTAGGGTCTCCTATAATTTACCTTAAAGGGGTTGCGGTAATGATATTCCAACTTTCTGGCTTCTACTGTAGGGGTGTAGCATGTCGGGTACAGGAGTTGCCGGGTTTAGGGTGTGGGCTTTCGGGCCCGTTAGGGTAGGCTTGGCGCCTTGGGGTGCCTGCGCTCCGATCTGTGACTCCAAATGTTTCGAAATGCATCCGACAAGCGTAGCCTCAACATGTCAGTGTCGCGGATGACCGCGCTGTTACAGTGCATGTCCTTTGTGGTTTGGGGTTGCCTGCAGTATCGAAACTCACCCCCCATGTGAAGGCGGCCATGTGTCCAACCCTCAAGACATGAGTACGGTTCGCCTGAACAACCTTTACATTTCAAAGTATGCTAAACCCGAAAGCCTGAACCCTACAGCCTAAACCTGATACCCCGAAGCCTAAACCCTAAGAAAGCCTCAGCCCTACAGCCCCAAGCCTACACCAAAAACCCTAGAGGAGCCTCTGCTAGCCAAGGCACTCTGGTCTCCATGGTCTTGGGCAGAAATGTGCCTGACAGCTACTTCTTGTCCGATGAGCGTGAGGACGGCATAACCCGAAACGTTTAGAATTGAGGGTTTCGGGTTCAGGGCTTAGAGCGCCAAACCCATCAGGTTTAGAGTTTAGCTGCTGCTGTTGCTGCTGCTTCTCTTGTGCCAGCGACGACGACCACCTCAACTGCTTCTGCTGCTCCCACTGCCGCCGCCCTTTTTCCATTGACTGTGACGACCACTGTTGCCATATCTTGTGACTACAGTCTTGTCTTGAAACTTCTTCGTTCACAGCCATCAGCACATGCAAGAGACCATACGTGCTGCTAGCTCAAATGCAGAAGCTCGACGAATCATGAGCAGACTCCACATTGTAGGCGAGGCATGGCAACGAAACTGTGTGCAAGTGCACGCTTTGAAGGACGGCAAATGCCTTCCATCTGTTGACTTTGAAGTGTTCGTTGAATCTTCCGGTTGTTCTCAATGCTGCAGCGGCAGGCGCGGCGCCTTCAAGAATGGGTGGGCCCACGCATTGCTGCAGGCAGGTCGCTTTAGTTCTCTTACATGCGGCAAAACGAGGTGTCGTCAGTGCTCGACTCTGCTAGAACGCTGTTAGAACTGTTTCAGCATCAGCAGCACCAGGAAGCAGTGTTTTCGGAACCATCATCTCATCACCATCACACCATCACCACCGCCGCCGCTGACCCCACGGCCGCCGGCACCACAACCACCGCTGCCGCCATCACCACCGCCGCCGCCGGCGTCGCCGTCGTGGAATCGTTGCCGCCATCAACACGGACATCATCAACAACGCCATCTTATGTGCTGTGGCGTTACCCTTCGACCCTACACCATAGACCCATGCCTACACCATAAGCCTAACCTAAACCCAAAGCCTTGCACCATGAACTCTAAACCCCCCAAAACCCTAAACCCTAATACCCTATACCCTAAACCCTAAACCCTAATACCCTAAACCCTAATACCCCCCTCCCCCAAAACCGGACAAACACCCTAAACCCAGAACCCGACTGGCAACCTTAAGCCTGATCCAGAACCCCCCCCATGTCTTCCCACCACCTTTAAAGGGCCCTTAGGGTTCCCTTAGGGTTCCTTTAAAGGGTCCTTAGGGTTTAGGGTTTAGGGGTTTAGGATGAGTTCCACAAGCTGAGCAGTTTAGGGTTTATGTAGGGTTTAGGGTTTAGGGTTTCCACAAGGTGGGCAGTTTACGGTTTATGTAGGGTTTGTTCACTGAGTCTACTATCAGCTGTCTGAGTTCTTCTTAGGGAGGTTTAGGGCATAGGTTCTCTTCCGAAGCTTATTGCAAGTTTGCACAGCACATAGCGAGTTAAAAGCATCCGAGATGGCATGCTTGAACCAATTTCCCTACCAAGGACGCAGGCAGCTTAAAAAATGCAAATCCCAGCACCCTAGGCACGAATTCATGAAGCTTCCAAAACCCCCCAACCCCACAGACACGAGTAGATGTGTCTGATAAACTATTCCTGCTATGAGCTTTTGGCCCTGCAGAGTTATGCTCCGGCTGTAAATCTGCCCCAAGACCCTATTCTCATCATTTCGCCCCCCCAAACCCTAAACCCTAAACCTTAAACCCTGAACCTTGAACCCTAAACCCTAAATCCTAAACCCCAAACCCCAAGCCCTAAACCCTAAACCCTACACCCTAAACAAACATCTATCCTCACAATCTCGAAGCCCCAGGCCACCCTTGGCCCGACAAGGTCATGAAGCCATGGCCTCAGAAGGTGTGGGCGTCCTTGTCCTTTAAAGGGTCCTTAGGGTTCCCTTAGGGTTCCTTTACAGGGTTCTTATTAGGGTTCCCTTAGGGTCCCTTCAAAGGGTCCTCAGGGTTCCCTTACGGTTCCTTTAAAGGGGTCTATAAGGATTGCTATAAGGGATCTTTAAGGAAGCCCTCATATGGGGGGCGTTAAATAAGTACCAAGGCTATTTTGGGGCTTCCTTATTATAAGTATAGCATAGCGGGCCCCGAAGCCCTATTCTGATGATTCAGGCCCCTGTACTACTTACAAGGGAGTTCCTGAAAATAGGGGACCCTAACATAGTACCCTAAATAGTAGGATCCTTATTATAAGGACCCCAAACTAAGGTACCCGTGACTTTTGGAAACTCCCACAAGGATCATGGGACTTAGCGTTCCCTTGAAGGGGACTCTAGGGCCTCGGGGGGTTTCGAAAGTAGGAAAGTAGGGCCTGCTAGAAGGGGGTCTACATTGAGGGGTGTACAGGTTAGAAGGGGCCCCCACCCTGTAATAGTGGTATAATATAGTAGGGCACTAATATATCCTTATAGTCACTATTACAGGGTGAGGGCCCCTTCTAACGTATAGGGGCTTCAGGGCTTAAGCGGATGAAGGGACTAGTGACTAGGGTCCCTTGAAGAGGTCCTTAAAAAGCCTCCTTAAAAGGGATCTATAAGGATTCTGTAGGGGGTGGGGGTTCGGGTTACTTAAAGGATCGTGGGGCTGAGTAACTCGGGGATCTTATTGTAGTAGCTGTACATATAATGCAACCAACCATACTATATATATATATATATACATATAAGTCCTATGATCCTGCAAAGTAGGTGTTTGAGGCTTCAGGGCTGTAGGGTTGTAAGGTATGGGTGTTTCTAGGGTCTAGTCGAAAGATCGGGTGTCTTGGTAGTAGAGTGATCAATACGGTAAGGCAGGTTAGTTACCAGCATAGTTCAGGTTTCAGGATTTCTGGTTTAATTGAGGCTTTATGGTTTAGAGTAATGCAATCTGCGTTCATGATCATAGCTGTCTGTAGAACCGTTTGTATGGGACCAGAAAATTTTCAAAACAAACCTAAGCCAACCCTAAGCCACTCTAGGAGCCTTATTGTGTGACTCCTCTAAAACCTGAAACCCTGAACTCTCGACCCTAAACGCTAAAGAAGCCCTATAAACCCCTAAGCCCTAAACCACTATACCTTAAACCCGAAACTCTAATCTCCTAAACCCCTAAGCCCCGAAACCCTAAACCCTAAACCCTGTAAGCCCCGAGGTATGCCATGGATCCAGGCATCGGCCGCAACTCGCGACGAGCTACTCGGTTCTGGTCTGAACGGGTACCTTTAAGGATTCCCTTGAGGACTCCTTTTGGGGCTCCTTTCAGGGTTCCTTTAAGGGCGATTTACAGAGCTTACTATAAGGGTAAAGGGTTCTACAAAGAGGGCTTCGGGGGATTCGGAGATCTAGTGCCGGACTTCGGGTTCGTCTCAGATTTTAGCGTTTAGGGTTTAGGTCAGTTTAGGTGTCAGATGGCTTCGGTTTGGGCCTTTACACCTACAGGGACTCAGAGGCTACGGGTTCCGAAGCTAGGCTTTGGGAACATCCTTAGGAGCCCAGCCAAAGCAACGAGGCTCTGCTGTCGGCCATGGAAGAGATCGTGGAGAAGAGCTGCGTCACTTTCCAGGAGGCTCCCTGCGCACCTGCATGCCAAACAGTGGTTTGTATGATTGAAGTATAGAAGGTTCTTATTGTTGTGCTTCCTCTTCCTGTTATTGTTATTGTTGTCATTGTTGTTAGTTTATACCATTATTATCAGTATTGTCTCAGGAGTCGAGAGATTTAGAAGATGTTTGAGAAAGGGTCCACGACTTGGACGAACACAGGCACCACAACTAGCTAGGAGACCGTGAGGAGACAACCAGAATCCGGCCGAGGTTTTGTTTTATGTAGGAACCTGATTAAGAAACGCTGGGCTCATAACTAACCCCAAAATATTAGGGTGCATATAGAAGGAACCCTAATAAAAGGCCCAAGGTTTCTTTTTCAGGTTCCTACATTATATGGTTTTGGGTTCAGTCTGGGTGTAGTATTTACAGTTCCTTGTTTACCCAGACCCCCGGGAGGATCCAGAAAGTAGATCCCCTAATTTGGGGACCTATACTACTCAGGGTACTTTATAGGAACCCCAATTAAGGGATCTACTTTTTGGATCCTCCTGGGGGTCTGGGTAGGGCATAAGGTTGAGGTCTTGTCGTTTTAGGTTGAATTGAAGGCTTCCAGATTCCAGTCTTTGGATGAGGAACAGAATCATTCGTGAGATCATCTACTAACCCCACCTAGACCTATACCACCCCCACCTATCGGAGGTATTTTGCTGGGGGGGTGGCATAGTTGGGGGTAGTAATTGGTTAATCTGTCAGGGAGTCTCGAGTTTACGGTTAGGCTGTTTTTTCTTTGAGCTGGATTTTGGTGTCCCCCCAAAAAATGGTTACGGTACTATACCCCGAAGCCCTGTTCAAAATGACAAGCCCCCCCAAAAGCCTGTAAGATTTTCTAGATCCCTACAAACTTGAGACTTTGAAGAACATTCTACTCCCATTCTAACAATGAGCGCCCTGTGGCTCATGTCATCTGAGGCTCGAGGTTTCGGACCCGGCGGGTGTTTTGGTGGAGGCTTCGGTTTTGGTATTTAGTGGGTTTATGGTTTCGTCTAAGTCGGCGAAGAAGCAGAAGTCGGGGCAGAAGCCTAAGGCCCAGCATGCGAAGCGTAAGATTCGCAATGATGTGTGCCGCAAGAAGAAGCAGGCAGAGCAGGCAAAGACATTCCGGAACGAGAAGGGCGCCCTTTCTCCGTCCCTGACTTCAACACCGCATCGCATGTGTATGAACTTCAATGATGGCCCGACACTGCCCTGCACACCCACACCCGCTATGGACGTCTTGCAAAAGAAAGAGCTGCTTCTCGGCATGGACTTTGCTGGCTTGGCCTGCCCTCTGCTTGCACTGAAGATGCTCGGCATTCCCAGCCGTGTGTCGTTCGTGTCCGACATCAGCAAAAGCTGCCGGGCTATGCTGCAGCACCACTTCGACATCAAGTGTGGCAATGTTTAGGGGGTTTAGGCTTTAGGGCTTATGGGTTTCGGGGTTTAGGGGTTTAGGGTTTGACGTAGAGGTGCAAGCTGCCGCGAGGAATTAGTCCATCGCAAGAAGAGTCATACGAACCACTGGGAGCTGTCTATGAAATAGTCACTGGAGAAAAAAAAAAGATTGGTGATAGCAGTCGTGGCGCGCCATCATGATTCTAGTTGCAGTCGCCGTTGCTGAAGATCAATTCAGCCGCAACCCACGGCACCTCTGCAAACGAAGTCGTAAACCCAGTAATCCGGCGTAACCCTACAGCCAACATGCTAGACCTTGCACGTTAAAATCCCTCAACCCTTTGACCTCAATGCAAACCCTAAACTTCTTTACACCACTAAACCCCTAAGCCCTAGGGAGTATTGAAGTTCAGGCCCCCATTTCACAGCCCAGATGCGAGATATTCCGGGTCCACGAGCTTCAGTATTCTTCGATGATCGATGGTCGTACCCTTGAGGGTCCATGTACCCAAGTTGTACATACTTTGGCCTTGTCCCTACTATGTAGGCACTTTTGGGCCAAAGTATATACTACGGGGGTACATGGACCCTGAGGGTACTCTCCTGGCGAAAGCTGAAACAGCAGCAGCTGATGTAGTCGCCTTTTTGCCAGTCTGGTGTTACATCCCTGCGGACGTGCATACCCAACGGCCTTTCATATGAAGCTCTCAAAAGGCATCTTCTCAACGGAACGTCGCCGTCCCGAAAGAAGCCGATACCTGTAGTCCCTAAACCTATAACCTCTCCTCGAAACTTGCAATATAGGCCTGGGGCAACCCTACATGACCTCCTAAACCCTAAGCCTCTAAACCCTAAACCTCTAAACGCTCAGACTGCTCCTCAGGTGCCGTTTGACTATACTGGAGGTCCTTATGTGCCTTGGCTGACTTCTGAACCCCTCCTAATATGATTCATATACAAACCCTAAGCCCTAAACCCTAAACCCTATAAACCCAAACAGTTACAAGTCCTAAGATCTAAAATTAAGGCCCCCTGTATTATAGTATCCCTTATAATATAGTATCCCTCATAGACCCCTTTAATGGAACCCTAAGGGAAGCCTAAGTCTTAAGATCCAACCAGAAAAACGGCCAAGGTGCAGATGATCTCATCGGAGGAGGGATGTTGGTCTGGAGTTGCCTGGATGGACACCTGCAGGGCAGGGTTTAGGGATTAGGGCTTAGGGTCTAGGGATTAGGGTCCAGGGATTAGGGCTTCGGGTCCAGGGTCTAGGATCTAGGGTTTAGGGCTTTGGGTTTAGGGTTTAGAGTTTAGGGCTTGGTGTTTAGGGTTACGGCTACGGGTTTACGGCACGGGGCTTGCGGCTTCCAGTTTAGGTTTGAGGGTTTGGGTACAGGCCTCAGGGTTTGAGGAGTTGGGGAGTGACTTGCGACAGCAGAACCAGCAATAGTGTGACGCACCACACGACTTTCGAGAGTAATTATCTCGATACGCTGGATACTCGTGCGTGTGGGCCTTCACCGTGGGATCGGACAAGTTTGAGTTCAGGGCTTCAGGATTGGGATGTAGGGGCTTAATTCGGAGTTTGTGTTTGTGGGTCTGGGCTTCCCAAACTTCGGCACCCGAATCCCTAAACCCGAAGCCCCAAACTCTAACCCCTAAACCTTAAACCCTAAACCCTTAACCATAAACCCTAAGCCCTAAACCCTCAACCCTCAACCTCAGAGCAACAAAATGCCCGGCTCCCATGCAACCTCGAGGACTGAAGCTTCGGGTATAGGGGTCTAGGGGTTTAGGGGTTTACTTGGAGGGGCAGGGGACTTAGTAAGTAGGTTATAAATAGAGTTATAAGTACCCTAAATGGAGTTGCCCCAACTGCTTATACCCGTACTTACTAAGTCAAGTAAGGGTTTAGGGTTTGGTTTAGGGCTGTAGGGTTTAGGGTTCAGGGTGCAGGGGTTTAGGGTTTAAGGGCCGGAAGTGGCCCGATTGAAAACCGAGCATTCAAAGAATCTCACAGCTCCACAAGCTCTGAAGCCCAGAAGCTCCGCGGCCTAAAACCCCACCCTTAACTCTGAAAACCCTCATGCTTGATGGTGCCCTTAGTTTAGGGTTTAGGGTGTTGATTTTTGTTGGGTCTTTCGGGTTTCTGTTCGAGGTTTCTGAGTTTTGAGGTTTAGGGTTTGGGTTTTGGGGGGTTTGGGGTTTATGGCAAGTTTGCGCTTAGGGGTTTTGGATTTTGTTGTGGGTTTAGGGTTGATTATGTGCCGGAGGCAGAATGCAGAGCGCGAATCGCTGATGAGCTCTTCATCCTGCGAAGCCTACAAAAACCCGCGACCCTGAATAGCGGAAGCCTGTGAGGTTCGAGTCGAAACAAAGTTACTCAGAGGAACACGTCAATGGTTGGTTGCCGCCGCAGCATACCTCAAGACGCGATGAGTTCAACAAATGCTGGCGTGCCGAGCATAGAATTGGAGTGTCCACGTCCCGGTCCTGGGGCGACCAGGGTGACGGCTATGCTCTGCACCGCATGCTGACGGCTGCCTGGGAGAAATACCTATTTCTCCACCCAACCGAGACTTGCCCTTGGGATTTCAGTTTCTTGAGAGCTTGAACTCAGCATGGCCGAGCAGCACGAGCAGCCGCCAAAGGCGTCGCTTGGCCCTAAACCCTGGGTTTGGAGTACCATACTTCCATACTTTTTCACGAACCATCATGATATGAGCTTGCACACCTTAACGTCCAGAAAACCTCGACCTTCAAGGTTGGCAGCGGCAGAAACATCCGGCTGAACATGGGCACAGGCACGCTACGGCTGAAGGGTTTATAGAGCTTGAGGCTTTGGAGTTCATAGTGTTGTTGCTGCTACTACTGCTGATCCCAGTACTGCTGCTGCTACTGTATACCACTCCTCCTCCTCCTCCTCCTCCTCCTCCTCCTCCTCCACAGCCCCGGGCTTCGAATCTCAAGGTCGCAAAGATCCTGAGATCTTCCCCAAGCATACTTGGAGGATCATGGGACTTAATAAGTATGGTTATAAGCAGTACCTTAATTGGGGTTGTAAGTAACTATAATAAGTATAGTTACCCTACGAATAACCCTGGTTACTAAGTCCCATGATCCTTTAAGTAAATAAATCCTTCAGCTCTTTAAACCCAAGCTCTGAAGCCTGAGCCTCCCCCACCCGAAACCCCAAAGCCAAATGGGGGTTTCCGAAAATTAAGGGGTACCTTATTTCGGGGTCCTTATCATAAGGATCCTGTTATTTAGGGTACTATATTAGGGTCCCCTACTTTCGGAAACTCCCAAATCGAGACTTTTAGGGAGATAGACCCACGAAGATGCAAGGCAAGAAAGGCAAGCGCAGCTTCAAAGCGGCTCTATCGCAGACAGAATCCGAAAATAGGGGTATCAAGGCTTCTCACCTTACCAACAGTGCACAAGATGTTAAGAGTAGCAGCAGCAATCTCAATATTCATCATCGTGTTACCCTTGCTGCCAGTACTGGCAAATATGTCCTCAACTGTCGCAGCAACAGTGAGCACAAATGGCTATACATGCAAAGTCGTTATATACAACCGAACACAGAAACAATAATGTGTCTATGTATCTACTGTCCGCATATCTACATATACATATGCACATATACACAGAAGGTTCTCTTCATACTTGCTCATATCTATTTGTTGTTATTCGTACTTGCACACAATATGCAGCAATGGTACCGTCTGTCGGTCCTGTTTTCGGGGTGCCCGTTTGGGTTTTTTTTGGATAAGGCTCCTACTGGTTAGAATCTATGTTAGCACCGAGCCTCCCACTTCACCGCAGGCTGCAACACCCACCTGACAGCCGTGCACGAGATTCTGCATGCCTTGGGCACCTGCGTTGCAAGAAAGCGTCTTGTGGCTCCCTCACGGAAGACTTCGCGAAGTTGAGTTATGTTGGGCTTAGGGTTAGGGTTTTGAAATTGCGGTTTATGTGCACTTTAGCATCTTATGTCCGGAGGTTGCAAAACAGAGAACCAAATCTTGTATAGTGTTACTCGGTTCCTGAGCACGTAGTACCCTTTTATCCTTTTTATTGTATGGTTCCCTTATTAAGTTTGAAAAACGGGAAACAGTGTGCCCTTACTATTTAGTGGTCACTCATGAACCGAAGTCATTCCAGCTGTGTGCCTCGATTCAAGCCTAGCCAGACCCAGATGTGGGTCTTTAGGGTTTAGGGTTTAGGGGTTTGGGGTTTAGGGGTTTAGGGGTTTAGGGCTTAGAGGTTCATGGTTTAGGGGTTGTCGATTCATTTCAAGCGACACGGTTTCGGGCATTGGGATTGGCTTCCTTCAAGACGAAGTCGTCATCATAGCAGGATAACTACACTTCTACGGTAATAGCACGAAGGCGCAGCACTGCGGTTTTAGTACTGCAGTAGCAGCATGGAACACTGGTGGAGGACAGCGCCGAGCCGGAACCTTAAACCCCAAACACCCATCCCTGAACCCTAGACCCTGAACCCTTTAAGCTTGAAGCCTTGATCCTTAACGCCGAATCCTAAAGCCTAAACCCTTTAACTTTAGCCCTGAAGACACTGACCCTGAAGCCTAGATTCTTAACGCCGAGTCCTAAACCCGAAACCCTGCATCTTTCAGGTCAGAAGCACGAGCAATCCCGACCCGACCGGGATCACTTCCTCGACATCCGTTGGAACAATGCCTTCGGGCCGCAGATGGGCTTAGGTAGAAGATCGGATTGAGGTTTCCTTCTAGGGTTTTCCTAGAGTCTCCATTGTAGCTTCTTTTTTTGGTTTAACCAATCTTGTAATGTAGGATCCTATATTGCAGCGCACAAGAGGAACTATTATGGAGATTATATCTAGGGTTCAGGGGTCTAGGACCCGCGATTTTGGGTTGATACAGGAGCCTATGGGTTTATAGGGCTGGGTATAAGGAAACAGATATGCCTTTAAAGGAAGCAGCGCAGGTGGTCCTCAACGCGTAAGCCCTAACCACAATCCCCAAATGAACCACTGTCCCCAGAAGGTAACTCCAACGCAGGTTCGACTTTTTTTCTCGAGTGAAGGCTCATCTATGCGGGTTGTTTAATTAGCCTGTTTGCGGGGGGTGGTTAAACCCTGAACCTTGAACCCTGAGATCATCGACGAGAACTTGCACAACTTCGAGATTTCCGACTATGGTCCTCTGCATGCAAGAAGTTTGGAGCGGGCTTACTTAGAGACCTCGGGTTTAGGGTTCAATGTTTATGGCAGCGTCTAGGGTTTAGGGTTTTGGGTCAAGGATTTATAGGCCGTTTTGTGTTTAGGGTAACCCCCAAAACCTGAACCTTAAACCCTACTGAAGCCTCAACTCCTCAGCGAACATGTTCTGTGTCGTAGGGATCATCTGAGAAGCTAACGAGAGCTTTTGGATGATTTCTTCGAAGCGGCGTTATCCGAAGCGACAGCAGCTTCGATCCCACAATTGAAACTGTGGAAGCATGCAGGCCGAATCTCCGGCTTCCCAACCGCACGAGAGTCTTTGATTCCTTAGATGCCTGTTGTATAGTGAAATTGCAAGACTTCTTAGTTGCGAAATGTGGGCTCTGCTAGAGGTCCCGATTGCAGTAAAGCGGGAACCTGATGATACATGCTCTGCTCCATGTGTAACTAGGCCTACGTATAACTTAACTCCAACTACAAATTGTTCCTTTCGCCTTTCCGAGTCTAGTTTCGGAAAGCGACCCGTTGTAACCTACCTATACACCCTGACTCTATGTCACTGCAATCTTAGCAATCTCAAGCCCGATGATACGAAGATATTTCCCGACCCATCTGGAGCTTACCCATAGGCCCCATAGTAGTTCCTTTCTAAGGCCAATATTTAGAATCCTATAAAGTAATCCCAAAAAGGAACTATTATGGGGCCTATGGGTAGACCCTAAATCCCAAACTGCAAAGTCCGGTGTTCCGTCTCCAGGCTACACTGGCCGGCCATACGAGACTCGACAGATCTGAAAAGGGGGGCCTAAACAATTGGGTGGTTGTCAAAATGATGGTCCCTTTTTGGGCCCCTAAGATAGTACGGCACCTAATATTTAGGGTACCCAAACAGGGGCCATAATTTTGACAACTACCCGATTACCAAAACACTTAAGGCCCCGATATTTTATGCAGTGGCTGTCGTTGAGCACATCGGGCTTCAGGCTGGACAGTCAGGCTCACCCTCCCTAAGGCTCCATGTACCTTTATAGTAGATACTTAAGCCTTAAAGGGGTCCCTATATAGGTACTTTAAGGCCTAAGTATGTACTATATGGGTACATGGAGCCTTAGGGCCTGAGGTGCAGGTTGGTCAAAAGGGTAGTTCTCTACACTAGGGTCCCCTTTTAAGTCCCCGAAATAGTACGGCACCCTTACACAAGGGACGCTAATTGAGAGAACCCCCCCATATCCTGAGCATCGTCCAGCCGTTGCAGAATTTGAAACAGTGCCTTGGTTGCTACGCCGTGGAGTTTGCGAAAAACAGTGGGTCCTAAGACCTGAGATTCCCCGACGGTCTTAGCATCCAAACAGCACGCACTTAGGCTCTGAAAGTATCAAACAGGAAGAGCAGAGTGAGCACCTGGACCTTGAAAGGCTTGGATTTGGGACCAACCCTCAACAGCTGAGACCTGGTTCTCAAACCGACAACATTTGGCCTTACAAAACCCAGTGAAACCTGCTAAAAACCTTCGTGAGAAGATGCTGGGTTGAGTGTCCTGCCCCCCAAACTTTCCGAAATCAGGGGTACCTTATTTTGGGCTCCATATAATAAGGATCCGACTATTTAGGGTACCAGCTTAGGCTCCCCCATTCCCGGAAACTGCCATGTCTTGATATGAGGCCCAGGAATGAAACACAGAATGCACGGCTTATCGGGTTGGCACTACACAACTAAGGGCCTCTAGGCTCCACTCGAAAGTTGTATTCTGGCACCGACTCTGGTCTGTGGTGCAGCCGCCTGTGAAAAGAGACAAGGGCTAAGAACAATGGAAGTTGAGATTCGATCGTTATGCTCGCCCTCACAACAGGCATTTCCAGCCCTTAAAAAATTGCATCCTCCAGCCTAGAGCACATCGATTTCTACCCAAAGCCAGAGACAGAACAGCACATATACGCGGCTACATGCATACGTACATACAGCCATGCGTACATGAAGCCATGCATACATAAATTCATTCATTCATCCATGCATGGCATAGTATATATATACACATATATGTACATATATAACTATATGTATGTCATATATTTATATGTTTGCATATGCATGTAACGTATGTAGGTATGTATGTATGTATGTATGTATGCGTATGCATATATATATATATATAGATATGTGTGTGTGCATACAAATGACTACCCCTTTCAGTAAATACCTGCTAAGCCGGAGCATGGGGTAGAATCATCTGGTGGTGGTGAGTGGTGTCTCGTGGGCCGTAGTAAGAGTATAGCTGCAACTGTCATAGCGACAGTGTCGTTGATCATGCTGTTGGCGATGACTTGGTCATGGCGATGATGATAATGATGGTGCCTTTTTGGGTACCTTAAATATTAGGTGCCGTTCTACATTACGGACCCCCCAAAAGGGACCATAATGATAGTGATGGTGATGATGGTGACATGATTCGTCATGCTGTCATGGTGCTCCTTGTCAGGCGCCGCTGGCATTTGACAAAGGCGATGATGGCAATGCTAGATTCGCTGAAACATGCCGACAGGCGAGGAGCATGGTAGTGTGATTATGGTGATGGGTGATGATGATTGTCATGCCGTTGGTCAGCGGCCTGTTAATGATGGCGATGATGTTCGTAACGACAGTATCATCACAATAACAACTCAAATTCAGGGGCTTCGGTTCAGAGCTGATAGCAAGGTGCATACAGCTTGGCCGCCTAACTTCACTCACCTCCCAGAAAGGGGGTTGCCAGCAATGTTTGCATTTGTGAGCAGAAACACGGGGACCTCTTTGTTTCGGGTTACGCATTACAACTGTAGTAACTGAAAGTGCAGGGTTTAAAAAGCATGTTGGCCCAAGGATACTGGACCCTCAACACCAGACGCTCACGGATGCATTCTGTCTGAGGATTACATGTCCATCATGCACTACTCTCGCTTCGCATTTGCCAAGAACTCCATTGCGGCGGATATGTTGGCAATCTGGCTGGATACCCGAAAACCTAGACCTTAAACGCCAAACTGTTGAATTCTAAACGTTCTTTACAAGTCCAACGGTTTGTTTTTACTTGTGGTGAAGGATCCCAAAAGCCTCTCAGGAGGCATTTCCGATGCGTCGTTGAAGTGGTCTCCGGGTTGAGTATGCCAAGAAATCCGACCAGCCACCCCTGCAAAGGCCTCTAATTAAACCCGAACCTCCGAGAAACAAACCTCAAGCCCTAAACCCCAAACCCTGGAACCGTGAACACGAAAGCTTAAACCTGTGTTCCGCACGGCTTCCACCGAGCTTCCCAGACCTCTTCCGGAACCTCGTTCTTCCGTGATCCCTGATGCCTTAAACAAGAACGAAACAAGAACACCCGCATCGCAAACTCCAAAACCCCAAAACCCCAAACCATGAACCCCAAACCCCAAACCATGAACCCCAAACCTCAAACCCCAAACCTTAAACCCCAAACCCCAAACCCCAAGTCCTAAACCTACCTCCACATGCAGTTGCTAGGTCTCCTGGACATTGAACCAGCTGGGGAAACTTGGGATCGACACCCAGGACCTCCTGACAAAAGGGTGTCGGATGAAGCGCTGAAGTTCTGGGCCCTCGGTTTGGGGTTTAGAGTTTAGGGTTTCGTGCTTGAGGTTGATTGATGATACAGAAAGAACCAGGCATGCCTTGGGCTGCACCCAAACGCAACTTAACTTTGAACCGACAGTCGGTTTTCGTGCGGAGCGTGTGTTGGACTGCCTACCTCCTGATTTGCAGTTGGATACTTGTTTGGGTGCGAGTCTGTCGCACAGCAGCGTCACAATGATTATGACAAGCCCAAAGGCTCCATGTACCTTAATAGTATATACTGAAGCCTTTAAAGGGGTCCCTGTATAGGTACTTTAAGGCCTGAGTATATACTATATGGGTACATGGAGCCTTAGGGAAGTATATAGTTGGGAGTATTTCGAAAGCATTCTCAGTGCTCTCTGGCTGGAGAAGCCTGCCTTATCCCGAGGACCACACCCAAAGACCAGTGCATAGATGCTTCGATGTCTCTATCAATCCATCTGTCTAGCTTTCTACCTTTGCAAAGTATGCATTTTTACAGCGATCACTGTACCGATAGCATATACGATGCCTGTCCGTCTGACGACGCATGTAGTTTCCTTTTCATATAGACGAACATATTCGCACATGGCACGTGCGTATCTACATTTGGCATATGCATCAAGCGACGCCCGGGATGTATGCATATATATATATGTATACGCATATAGAGAATGTAATATAGAGATATACATATATACATACATGCATTCGTTCATACATACAAACACACATACATACATGCAGTTACATACATATATATGCATGCATGCATACATACATACATACATACAACATACAGACCTACATACCCACATAGCTACGGGCCTGCATTCCTGCATGGCTACATTCCTGCATGCCTACATACTCACATGCCTACGTACTCACCTGCCTACATACCTGCTTGCCTACACACGCACAGGCATACATACATGCATGATGTACATTCGTACATGTGCTTATGTAGATGTGTTTGTACACGGTTTGGGACGTGTTTGCATATGTGTGCACATATTTAAATCATTCTATATACATATACATACACTACAGGTGTGGGCATGCAGACCCCATGGTACTACTTACAGGTGCATAGATCTACTTGTATGTGTAGCTGGAGGATCAGGCCGTTTAGTAAGTAAGTCACAGTAAAACGTCGTAAGTTCCTTGATTGGAATTACCGTACTTGCTGTTCCTGCTTCTGAACTCCAAGCCCAAAGCCGTGTAAACGATTATCTTGCCCATAAACTCCTATGACACCTTGAAGTTAACCCGAACCCTAAAGCTTCAACATCCCACTTGCAAAACCTGCTTCTGTGGCTTCAGCGTTCGGATATCGCGTGGGCGAGGATTCGACACTCCAGCCTCGCAACAGTGGCACAGAAGCAAACTGGGAGATTTTTTGTGTTTACATAGGGGATAGAGGATTCTAGTGCCAGCTTGAGGGTTCGCGGGGCCCCAGTGTCTCAAACATAGGGTTGAGACTTGATGCTGCGGGCTTGAACCATGGCATTTGGGCGTTTGGATTTGTGTTCCAGACGTCGTCGTCGCCAAGCCTAAATCCCAAGACACCCTATGCCCTACTAAACCCCAGATCCGCACAACAGCGAGGCATGTACAACGGCAAGCTCGGCTCGAGCTGTCCGGCTGCAGAAACGGGGTTCTCGTCTGTTGGAGCGTCAATGTTGAGCGAGCAATGAAGACTCTTTAGGTTTTACTTACATAGGGTGTAGCGTTCGGGGGTTTAGGCCTTTAGGGGTTGAGGCTTTCCCTAACGGGGTTACTGTAGCAAGCCTGGCCGTCAGAGGCTGAGGGGACCTCCGTTCCCAAGAATGCCCCTAAACCCTAAATCAAGTTCAAGTTTGAAGTTTGGTTGCAAACGAGTAGCCTGGTGGACATTTCAAGCTCCAAGTTCATTGAATGTCTTTCGGTGTCGGTACTATCCTCGTCGTTATGGTTTCATGCCCGTCCAAGCTACAATGCCGACCACCGTTTTGATAATCCGCGCAGATTCGTTTACATGCGTTTTGGACCCGGCACATTCCAGCACAGTTCGCTCGAGAACCGAAAGTGCATGAAACCATGTGCAAAGCTTGAATACCGCGTGGCCGCCGGAAGGGGGTGGGGCGTGGTAACTAGGCTTCGAATGTTGTAATCAAGGCTTAAGTGCCGTGACAGCTTCGAGTTTTGAGCGCGGTGAATACAGTACGTGTGCACTTCCGGGTGAAGAGTAGGGAGAATAGGGCCTGAAAGGACCTCAGCTTTACATGCGCCTGACAAAGTCCATCGGTGAGAAGCTGAATAGGCTTTGAGCCAAAACGTACATGTGTTGCCGGAGGCTTGGTTACTGAGGAAAGTCGACAGGTAAGCTTGGGAAGCCGCTGAAAAGCTTTAATTACCGAGGGATGTCGGCAACTAAGCTAGACTGCTGCGAACTGAGCTCGAATCGCAGCATGCGGGTCCGATTCGGGTAAGTATGCCTCGCATGAACAAGGCTAAACATACAGGAAGTTGGAACATGGTTTATGGATGATATGTGCTAGGGTTCCTTATGCTGCACCTTTCGGGTATGCAGAAAGTGATATTGCAACTTTCCGGCTTCTACTGTAGGCGTCGTTTGCTGTCCATGTGTGCTTGCACGCCATGTACCTGACCCGTAAACTTCTTGTCCCAAAAGAAACCGCATAGTATCTAATACGAGCAGTATGGAGCAATAACGCTTGCTATCAGGGGGCATTACTGCCGAGTTGGTGAAACAGGAGACGGGTCGGGCCTACAAAGGAATGCCTGTCACGGGGGAATACTACCAAGTACACTTTCCTGGAGAGGTTTACAAAGGATACTAGGTTCTTTTGGAGACAGATACCATGCTAGATTATTCTCTGAACTCGCTTTTGACTAAAACGATGAAGCTTTTGTTGCGAAATGATAAATTTCAATTCGATTGCACTTAAATGGCCTTTCGGCGAAAAAGTCCAGGTCAGATGAACCCAAGCCTGAAGCCGCGAGGTTTGTGTGAACTTTTTCTCATTAAGGTCAGATAATGTCAGACGGAGACGCCGAGCAGCTTCAAGACATGCGTGGCGCTGAGATGAAGTCGATCTCCAACGCGAGCATTGGATTTAGGGGGTTTAGGGGCTTTGAATTCCGGGGTTTTTGGGTTCAGGGTTGAACTCAGCGTTTATGGTGTAAGGTCGGTCGTTTGTTCTGCTTGGGGGCAGCCGACAGGGACTCAGCAAGAATGGATTGTAGGTATCGGATATGTCCACCTATCCATCCAGCTATCTTGTCTGTTTATCGGTGTACGTGCACAACCACGTGCCTGTGGTGTTTGGGTGGTGGTGCATGCGTATGTGCATGCGTAGATTTGTGTATGCATGCATGTAACTTGTGCATGCATGCATGTGCGATCACGTACTGCATTTAAGTATGCATGCACGTACCTGCGTGAGTGTGTATGTACGTGTGTACGTATGTATGCATGCATGCATCCATGCATGCATGGATGCATGGATGGATGGATGGTTAGATGAATGCATGTACGTATGTACGTATGCGTGCATGTGCCTATATAATAGGTTCTATTTGTACACACATCCATGTTATGTCATTGTGTATATACCCTCGTAATATGCCTATACATACACGGTTACATACTTTTGCTCTGACATATGCACACATGCATATATACATATATATATACACACACACACCTACCTACCTTCCTGCCTGCCTGCCTACCTGCCGACCTACCTACCTACCTGCCTACCTACCTACCTACCTACGCACATACATACGTAAATACGTTCATACATACATACATACATACGCACATACATTCATACAAACATGCATACATATATACATACGTACACAAACACACATACATACCTACCTACCTATATACATACATACATGCATACATACAGGTTATAGAGACAGGTAGAAAGATAGCGATATAGGCACGTGCGTATGTGTGTCTGTGCGCGTGTATTTGTGTTTGTGTGTATGTGTGCATACACGTGCATATACCTTTCAATATATACATAATTCTTTATAGATGTATATACAATAGGTGTATTGGTTTGTATGTGCAAATATGTAGCTGGAGCCTCAACAACCGGTGGGAAGTTTGCGTCGATCATTGGTATAAGGAGCCTTGAGTGGATCCTTCGTGGAGGAACACCATATGTACGTACACCCACAGCTGTAGTTTCACTCTGCGAGGACATACGAGAATCGATTCGGGGTCAGGATGAGGGATATCACTGTCTATGCCGACTACTGACACAGTACCTTGAGGTACCAGTGCAACAAGGTTGCACCTCGGCAGCAGGGAAGAGACAGTGAAGAGATCAAGAAAGTGAAACAAGTTAGTGGTGTTCGGCTGTAGTCGTTCATGGTAGGGGTTTCGTTTGTAGGGGTTTAGGCTAGGAGTCTCAACAATCAGAGATACTCTGTTTATGCTAATCTATCTGGAGTTCAGATTTTGTGCACGGGAGTTGAGCGAGCACTTAAGGTTCTCGTTTCGCATGTAAGACAAGTGTCAGCTTTGCGTGTGTCGGCATCTCCGCCTGCCACAGCAGTAGCGCAGCGGCAGCAGCAGCAGCAGCAGTAGCAGCAACGAGTAAAGAACATCGTCGATTACGAGCAGCAGGCTGTGAGAAGCCCGAGGTTGTCCTCACTCATGGTCGTCCGCTTCACAGAAGCCATAACACATCTGGACTAGTCTAGACCTAAACCCTACACCCCAGAATCCGCCGTCTGGAACTTTGCCTCGCCGTATCCGATAGAATCAGAGCGCTGGGCTCTTTTTAAGGGGCTTAATTTAAGTTACCATAATGTAGAAACCATGTTAGGTACGTACTATAGATCCTTTTTATGGTAACTTAAATTAAATTCCTGAACAAGAGCCCAGAGAGTGACATGCCAAGCGACGTTGTTTTGATATTTTCCGGTAAACTCCTTGTAATCCCCGAAGATGTTGTTCTGACATTGACCGTAAACTCCTTGTACATCCCTAAAGCTCGAAACCCACAGTCTCAAGAATAATAATCGCGTCAGATTACAAGTCTTGGATTGAAGCTCACGGCTTGGGTATCGAGAAAGTTGATGGCCCCATGAACCCTACACCTGACGCACCTGGCTCCCCACATAGCCCAATGCTCATAATCGTGGTTGTTCTGGTTGCCATAAGCCCTGATAAACCAATCCCTATGTAGTGTGTTAGAGCATGGAACTACAACTTGTCTATGTCATCATGATCTATTCAGGCTCCTGTATAACCTCTATACCTTAAACCCTAATCTCTAAACCCTAAACCTTGAACTCTAAGCCCCTAATCCCTGAACCTAAACCCCTAATCCTAATCCCCAAACCCTAAACCCCTAATCCCTAAATCCTGAACCCCTAAACCCTAAATCCCTAAACCCCTAAACTCTAAACCCTAAACCCCTAAACTCTAAGCCCCTGACCCCTAAACTCTAAACCCCTTAATCCCTAAACCCCTAAACCCTTAAACCCCCATTTTTCAAGTCCCCCCCGGTCGTATGCGCTGAGGCCGTCAGCAGCGAGGGTAGCCCTGGGATGGGCCTGCAATGGATTCTTGGCTGCAAAGTTCTTCCCCTAAGGGTTTATGGTTTAGGGGTTTAGGGGTTTAGGATTTAGGGCTCATATATTAAGGCTTTTAGAGCCCAAAGACCATAGTACAAAAGGCTTGGGCCATTTTGAGCCTTGGGGTTCGGCACTTCTTGAATTTCCCAAGGGCTCCATTTACCGACTGCTAATTACAATGCAACCCAGTCACTTGCAGGGGCGCTAACCCCTAAGAGCATGTACCCCAAGCCAAGGCATTTTGGTGGATTTCAGGTGGTTTGAGTCATTTCGCTGGGAGCCTTATGGAAAAACCCATTCAAGGCCCAAGCCCTAAACCCTGAGCTAAAACCTAAAGCTATGAGGATTGGGCTTGGGAGATCCACCGGAACCTAGAACGGGTTTTCGGATCATGCACTCTCTGCTCATGCCCGCTTCTCTAGGCTTCAGGAGTTGGATTCAAGGCTTTCTCCTTCCCTAAACCCTAAACCCTAAACCCCTGAACCCCTAAACCCCGAAACCCCGAAAACCCGAACCCCCTAAACCCCGAAACTCCTAAACCCCCTAAACCGTTTATCTTTCTCTCTCAAAGACCGGTGTTGAATCACGGTTGCGGCTTTCAGATTTTGGGTTCAGGAGCCTCTTGGTTTTGGCATGACGGCTTGCGGTGTTGGGGCTTAGGGTCCAAGCTATAGACCCCCCCCCCCCCCCCCCCCCCCCGCACACTCCACCCTACACAAACTAGGCTTCCATCGATTTCTTTCCCTTCAGTTTTTTCGGCCGAACTCTTCAAGATTAATAGTTCCATTCTCTTTCGAATGTGAGACTGGCTGCTTGAAGCATGACCGAAGCCCGACACCTGAAGCCCCACCATGAACCCTAAACCCTAAACCCTAAACCCTAAACCCTAAACCCTACTCTGAGGGAGCTGGATACCTTCAGCCCGGAAGCAATCATCACCGAAGACTGGTTCAAAGTCGGCACAGGCGGGTTTAGGGTTTAGGGTTTAGGGTTTAGGGTCTGCGCATGACAAGAGCATTTTCCCTTATTGGGTTGAGGGTAAGGGGCTCCTATTCAAGAATAGTTTTCAGAGGCTTTAAAGGGCCCACCCAGCGAAATCATTCCGACACCCCTACGTTAGGGTGCCGGGGCCTTTTACATTCGAGCGGGTGAGAGCCTACTGTTGAATGTGGCATTCCTGTAATATTAACACGCCTGCTTTCAGTTTAGTCTGTCCAACCTAGAGGCTCCTCCTATACTAACCTTATGGAATTAGGCCCTTAAAGCCATACTAAGGATGGTGTTGGGGGACGTAATTCCATAATGGTAGTATATGAGGAGCGTCTGGGCAAGGGGTTCCATGCTCTCGGGAGCGGACCACTCGAGTCCTCAGCAGTTCACTCCTCGAGATTCCAGTTTGAATCCCAACGCCTCCACCTGCTGAAGAACGTTGAAGGTATTTCAATACAGAGCTGGCACCCCTTCTGCCACCAACAGCATAAACTCACCTGCGCCTACATCTCCTAGCTGCCGCTTTTCGCGTGTGGAGAACCGGGAATAGCGAATACCAACAACTTGGATTCGTGCGAACACGGAACAGGCTCGTACTGCACAAGCCCCAAATCCTATCATCACATTCAAAGCAAAATTTGCAGGAGTCGAGTCCATGCCGGTGCATTGCAATGCAGGCTATGCAGCACCTGGGACGAACAGGGTTCGCCGTAAACGACCGTAGTCTGCTTTCCGTAAACTCCGTGCTTCGTGATGTTCAGGAGAAAGACCCTACCAGACGACTTTCAGGCAGGTGTTCAGTAACGGGGCAAGAAAGGCTTTCAAAATAGATGACTCGTGGTGCTGCGATACAAGACTAAGACTATTCCTTACAATTTCATATTGTACTTAAGGAATGCGTTCACCGTAGATAGTGTTAAGCACCGAAATCTCTGTTCAAAGTCCTTAGGGGCCCCTAAAGTGGACTCCCAAACCCTTGATGCCAGTTTTTCAGGCCTTAAGCCAGACGCCAGAGGTCCCAACTCGTAAAGCTCCCGAGACCCCCGTCAGTAGCTGGGCGGAGGGTTTAAAGTGCAGGGTTTAGAGTTGAGGGATTAAAGTTTAGCGCTTAGGGTACAGAGTTGAGGGTTTAAAGTTTGGGGTTAGAGTTTCGGGTTTGGAGGGTTTAGGCTTTCAATTTGCACTCTCCGGAGCCTCCCAAACCCTTTGCTCCAGCGCTGCGTGCCACAGTCGAGACTCTTCACCACTCAAACCAATGGCAAACAAAAGACGTAAGATCCCGGAACCAGCCCAGCAGTGTCCCAGGTTACCTCCTGCACGTGCTTTCACAAGGAGAGGGAGGGGACATGTCACCATCTAACTCTAGGGTCCTACAGACGATTTAAGGGGCTTTGTCGGTTTGGGGTTTTGGGTAAACGGACAGCCTCAAGTCCGGGCAACAAACAAGAGCCGTTCAAGAGCAGGGCAGACACCCAATAGTATTATTAACAGCAACAGATTTTTAGTAGTATTAGTAGCGTTTTCATATCAGTAGTAGTGTACAAGTTCAAGAGCATGGCATAATTTGGGAGCCTTAGTAACTGTACAAATTATAGCGACGTCACGCGACGTCACCTCGAAAATCTCCGAAATTAGCGACCGCATGCGTCCCAAATTAAGCCAAATTAGCCACGCAATCCCCAGATACTAGATAGGGTCTTGTTCCTGCTGAAACCGGTTTGGCATCGCCGGCATCCCCCTTTCAGCTTCGGCCAAACTCGTGATTGCCGAATCCGACCCCCCAAAACGCCCTATCTGGCTCAGATAGGCTTGTTTTGGATTTTGGTGCTTGCGTTTCGACCAAATTCGTGATTTTCTAATCCGACCCCCCAAAACGCCCTATCTGGCTCAGATAGGCTTGTTTTGGGTTTTTGGAGCTGGGGCTTCGACCAACTTCGTGATTTTCTAACCCGACCCCGCAGAAGGCCCTATCTGGCTCAGATAGGCCTGTTTTGGGTTTTGGTGCTTGGGCTTCGGCCAAATTCGCGATTTTCTAGTCCGACCCCCCAAAAAGCCAGATAGGCTTGTTTGGGGGTTTTGGTGATTTTCTAATCCGACCCCGCAGAAAGCCCCATCTGGCTCAGATAGGCTTGTTTTGGGTGTTGGGGCTTGGGCTTCGGCCAAGTTTGTGATTTTCTAATCCGACCCCCAAAAAAAGCACTATCTGGCTCAGATAGGCCTGTTTTGGGTTTTGGTGCTTGGGTTTCGGCCAAACTCGTGATTTTCTAATCCGACCCCCCCCCCAAAACGCCCTATCTGGCTCAGATAGGCTTGTTTTGGGATTTTGGGGCTGGGGCTGCGGCAAATTTCGTGATTTTCTAATCCGACCCTGCAGAAAGCCCTATCTGGCTCAGATAGGGTTGTTTTCGGTGTTGGGGCTTGGGCTTCGGCCAATTTGGTGATTTTCTAATCCGACCCCCCAAAAAAGACTTATCTGGCTCAGATAGGCTTGTTTTGGGTTTTGGTGCTTGGGTTTCGGCCAAACTCGTGATGTTCTAATCCAACCCCGAAAAAGCCCTATCTGGCTCAGATACGCTTGTTTTGGGATTTTGGGGCTGGGGCTGCGGCAAATTTCTTGATTTTCTGATCCGACCCTGCAGAAAGCCCTATCCGGCTCAGATAGGCTTGCTTTGGTGTTGGGCGTCGGCCAATTTCGTGAATTTTTAATCCGACACCAAAATAAGCCCTATCTGGCTCAGATAGGCTTGTTTTGGGTTTTGGGGTTTGGGCTTCGGCTAATTTCGTCATTTTCTAATCCGACCCCCAAAAAAGCCCTATCTGGCTCAGATAGGCCTGTTTTGGGTTTTGGTGCTTGGGTTTCGGCCAAATTCGTGATTTTCTAATCCGACCCCCCAAAAAAGCACTATCTGGCTCAGATAGGCCTGTTTTGGGTTTTGGTGCTTGGGTTTCGGCCAATTTCGTGATTTTCTTATCCGACCGCGCAGAAAGCCCTATCTGGCTCAGATGGGCTTGTTTTGGGATTTGGGGCACAGGTTTCGGCTGCTGCTGCTACTGCTACTGCTACTGCTACTACTACTACTACTACTACTGCTGCTACTCCTGCTCCTGCTCCTACTCCTGCTCCTGCTCCTGCTCCTGCTCCTGCTCCTGCTCCTCCTGCTGCTGCTGCTGCTACTGCTACTGTTACTACCACAACTACGACTACAACAACTACTACTGCTACTACTTCTACAACAACTACAACGACGACGACTGCTGCTACTTTTACTATCGCTACCACGACGACTTACCACTTTTGCTACTACTCTTAGCCACACAGCCCTAGGCCCGCTAATTTCGATTTGGAATTAAATAGCGACCGCTACGGAAATTATCCGCGACGTCACGCGCCTAGTTTCGAATTGTAATTATTATAATTTGTGCAGTTAGTAATTAGAGTAATTAGAGTAGGGTTGCGGTGTATATCATAATCATATAATTGGGCTTTAAGGAACGCCATTTTGATTGTCAGGGCGCCCATATGACACAAGCCTGGAAGTTAATGGCAAAAGTGATCACCACGAAGGTAGTGATTGCAAGGGCAGCCATCATGGGACGCAGAATAAGACAAAACATTGACTACGACAAATCACACGCACATACACAGACTCACCGGTACACCAAAACCCTCCCCTGACATATCAACAGTATGAAAATTCTCTAGACCCCAAACCTGCTCTAAACCCTAGTCAGGTGGGAACCTGATTAAGATACCTTGGGCCTTTGTTCGGGTTCCTTCGTGAATCCTACTATATGGGCCCAGGGTTTGTTAAGCAGGTCCCTACATGAGAAGAATAGGAATAATAACACTAATATTGGAATAATGACAACAATAACTTTTGAAAGGAATTCCGGTCCCTACATTATTCTGTTGGTTCCTGTGCCTGCAAATCCTTTGCTGGAAGCCTTGCTGCGAGGACGGCGAGTGCCGAGGGGCACTTGTGACGGAGGCCGGCGGAATGGGGCGGGTTTACGGTTTAGGGTTGGGGAATTAGTTCTATGTGGGAGTTTCGGAAAATTTTAGGGTCCTTATAATAACGATCCTACTATTTAGGGTACTATATTAGGGCCCCCCATTTTCGGAAACCCCCATGTAGTTACTACTGCTTTTGGAGCAGCAGTTTCCTTTAGGAGTCTACGGTGCTTTGTCATTGTCCAGGGCTTTTCAGATTGTATTGTGTCTTTGTTCGCAGGGTGTTGTGTTTGCAGGGTTAAGTGGAGCACAAAAGTAGGGTTTAGGTTCGTTCAAGAGCTTGCAGTTTTGTTAGATCTTTATCTGAGGATTCCTCTGAAGCCCAAAACGCTTCGGTTTAGGGTTAAGGTCTAAAGGCCAAGGTCTGCGCTTCATTGGGGCTGCGAGTTCGGGAAGCGAGACAGAGTCGGGATAAACGTTTATAGGTTTGCGGTTTGCATCATCCCGCCCCACTCCCCAGAATCGACTAGGGAATTGCAGTTGAAGGTTTTTTGCCTGCCCTACCCTAAACCCTAAACCCTAGACATTGAAGAGGTGGCTGGTGGTGGCACCTGCGTGGCAACCCCATCCAAGGACGCGCTTTCAGCCAGGGTTTAGGGTTAAAGATTTAGGTTTATATCAAAGGGGACCCTTAATAAGGACCCCTCGGTATATACCCTTAATATAGCTATTATATACCCATTATATAGCCCATTATAGGGTAGGGGTCCCTCCTTTTCCCCTTTGATTATAGGGTTTAAGGAACCGTGTTGTCCCGAATTCCTCTGGGCCAGAGTTGCCCTGATTCCTAAAATCTTAGCAGCGAATTGGACCCAGACTCTTTCTTATGGAGAAGCCTGAGTGTTTAGTTAGAAGTACCAGTCCTTTTCTTAGCCCCCTTCTGATCATTGCATTGAAAACGTACCCCAAAGCCCTGCACTAACTTTATCATCAAGGCCCCAAAATACTGTTTCTACGTATTTGTCACATCAGAATAATCGTACAAACTACTACTGCTTCTCTTGTAACAAAGGAGCCAGGGAGTCGAGCCTTGTACCCCGCAGTTGAGGCCCACACCATCAAGTGAAACTGTTGACGGACAAAATCCTGCATTACCCATTTTAGGGAATATACCACAGCTCCCAGAGTTTAGAGTCCTTACGGTCATGCAAAATTTTGTCCATCATGTGAAAGGGCTCCTTCTTCTGAGGTACGTTGTTGAACTGAGAGCTTCAGGGACCTTTTTAGCAACTTCATACCTTCAGCAGCCGTTGAAAACCTACACCTGCACAGGCCTACAGTAAGCCTTGTCTGTTCACCGCTGAGGGTTGTTGGGCTCCCTTTAAAGGAACCTTTAGAGTTCCCATATAGTACCCTTGACGTAAGGTACCCTTGGGTCCTCTGGACCCTTAGAGCCCAAGGGTTGGGCCCTCTTGGGAGACCCTAACCCCTAAACTCCTAAACCCCTGAACCCCTAAACACTAAACCCCTAAACTTTTAAACCCCTAAACCCCTAAGCCCTAAACCCCTAAACGGGTTGGGTTTCCTGGGAGACCGGCAGGACGAGACGCGAGATGCCAAAGCTCATGCCCTCTGCGTGAAGCTTGCAGCGTGGCCGCAGCGAAAGGGTTCGGGTTTAGAGTAAAGCTTATAGGGTTCTCCAACATAACCGTATAGGGGTTTAGGGGTTTAGGGCTTAGGGTTCAGGGTTTACGGTAAAATTTGTAGGGTTCTACAAAAAAACCATATGGCTCTTAGGACTCGGCTTTGGGTTCAGAGTATATTTTAGGGTTCTACAACAGAACCGTAAGGCTCTACTAAGGACTCATTTATGCAGGCTTATTTTGGCCCCAAGACCGTACTATCTTTGTTTTTTGGGCTGTTGTGGAGCCTCGGGGTAAGATATGGGATATAGCTATCGCAGAACCGAGGACCAGATCCAGTCACTCTTAAACTCTGAAAGGTTGCGAAGCGCTAAAAGTTCCAGGCCTAGGCTTTGCGAATTGTAGGCTCATCAGCACCGGGAGCACCGAATTCTAAGTCCAATCATCACCAAGGTGTTCTGGGCTAGTCAGCGTCGTGTTCATACAGCTGGGAGCAAGCATGAAAACGGAAATCCCTAAGCCCAATGACCTTAAACTGAAACTCCCTCCCTAAACGGGATCAGCACTCCGATTCCCACAACCTTCATCCCTCAGCCCAAGCCCAAATCAGGCCTTTGGACATGAACATGTTGACTCTGCATTGAAGCCGAAGCCCTTAACTCGCCAAACAGGTGATGCCTCAACAGCAGTCACAGACTAAGCCCGTACACTAGCCTCAACCCTAAACCCCAAGTAGCCCGTACCGCTAGACGCTCACTGCCTACATCTTACCCTAAGGCTCCATGTACCCATACGGTATACACTTAGGCTTCAAAGTACCTATATAGGGACCCCTTTAAGGCTTAACCATAAGGGTACATGGAGCCTTGGGGTTAGTGTCATTCAGAGTGTTGGACCACCCCAAAGGCTTCACCACACTACAGTGTGTCGCTGCTCTCTGCCGAGCGCTCCGGCGTCGCCGAGCAGGCTGCCAGATCTGTATTTAGGGCTTAGGGTGTATATAGGGGTTTGGGGTTTAGGGTTTAGAGTTTAGGAATGGACCCTTGCCCTAGATAGCTACTGAACCATGGTTCCCAAACCCTAAATCCGAATCCTTGGACCCTAGCTGCAAGCCTCGACACAGGAGATGGGGGGGAAATCATCGGGCCGTTATGAACACTGCCCCAAATTTTAGCCCTTAAACCCTAAACCCTACATTCCACAAGCCCTTTATTAAAAGGTGCCAGGTCGCCACGTCGCGCCCCCCCCCCCCCTCACCCTTCCCCCAAGCCAGGCCTCTCCTCCCACAAGCCAGGCCTTTCGCCTGAGCAAAGGGCGGGTGGCGGACTACCCACAACACATCGAATTACAGGACAAGGAACCACAGGGGCGGGGCCCCTTCATGCCCCTTCCCCTTCCCCTCCCCTTCGACACACATATGAGAATGATGGCGATGACGTTGTGCACACTGACGTCGATGTGCTATTCCCCGTGTGGCTGTTGGTGGTACCTTTGCTCTTATGTTGCTTTAGGCTTCGGCAGTGCATGTTCATTGCCTTATTTAGTTGAAAATCGTGCTTGGCTTGTGATGTTGTTGCGGAAACTGTATTGACCGTTGTCGTTCCAAGCCAGGTCTCGGTTCGGTTCGTTAAAGGTACTCTTTAACACGTGTGCGGATGGGGATCATGACCACCATCCTGGTCATCATCATCATCATCACCATTTTACTCATCACTACCATACGCTTTGGAGCTCAGGGCAGGTCGGAGTTCACGGAACTGCATCACATCCCTAAGGTCCAAACCCTTAGCAGCCGGACGCCTTATACTAAACCCATAAACCCATCATAAGTATAAACCCTTAACCATAAATCGCACAATGACTGTATGGCCTGCAGGTTGCGGCTCAGGTTTGCAATGACACACGCCAAGTGTTTGGACCTGCTGGTGACGCAGGCTTCAAGGATCACCATTGGCGAGATATGCGAACTGATCTACAGATGCTGCGTTTACATGGAGATCCCGGCGAACGCCGGCATCGAAGTCCTGGGCAGCCGCAGCTTTGTTTGTCTGAGCCGGTCGCCACACCGTTTGGTGTGGCGACCGGCTCGAAGCCGGCCACACCAACGCTTGTGGCCGGGAATCCCTGTCCGTGGGACACGCCGCCTCCGGCTGGCGAAACATTGTTTCAATGTGGTGCGGCGTCCCTAAGGGATCCGCAGACATTTTTCCAGTCGCATTTTTCCAATCATCAAAAAACACTGTCGCAGCCCACCCAGCAATAGCCATGGAAGGGTGCGCAGCCGGCCCCAACCACAGGGGGGAGGGGCAGGGAAATAGTCCCTACCACAACCGGAACCCCGATACCACAACCAGAAGCCCTATACTGCAACCAGAAAGTGGACCCTACTACAACTCAGCAGCTATATACAAAAAAATGGTCCCTACTACAACTGGAATGTTCTTCTTTGGTTAGTATAGGTTTGTGTGGACAGTATCCCGTTGTTAAGGGGTCTGTTGGAGCCTTGTGTAGCATTGTCGAATGTTTAGCAGGGTGTACAGGTCGAAGGGTTTTTTAGACCTCTAGGTTCAAGGTCTTGGGGTCGTGGGGTTGGGTTGCCCGTATGCCTTTAGGCTTGTTGTTCCTCACTGCTCCTAAACCCTTCGGATTTCAGGGCTTCAGGGCACCCTTTCTGACGTAGGACCTGTGTGGGGTTCGTGTGGTTACCCCCAGTGTTCCCGATAAGACTCAGAGACCGATGACGACCCCCACAAACACCAGCACCACTACCAAACACCAGCAACACCACCAACACCACCAACTCTACTGTTTTGGAGTCAAACCTTCAATAGCATAGAGGCCCGTCTTTAGCGTTAGGTCTTACTTGTTCATTATGAATATTCAGTAGATCGTAGCATCTGGACGAAGAACGGTACCTACTGCAACTGCATCTTTTCCAAAAATGAATGTGTTTCCTTAAAGGTTGACCATCAGATTGGAAACCATATAAAATATGGCAATATCTAAGCTTGTTAGCTGGTTGTGATATGGTGGTTTCGGGTTTTGCCCAAATCCAGGCCCAGTTGCGGTACAGGGCTTTTGGTTGTGGTATCGGGGTTCCGGTTGTTGTAGGGACTAGTCGCGGAAGGGCAGGGGGGAACCCACACCACAGGGAACCACAGAGAGGGGTAGGGGGAATACCATTGGGTGGGGGGGGGGGGAGGGGGAAGGTTCTGGGGCGTGCCCCCCAGCTCCCACTTAGGACCCCATGTTGTTTTTTAAACTTGTCTGTCTTAATCTTAATCATTATAATGGTCAGTTTGAAGTAGTCTTCTCCCCCAACATTTTATGCAACATATCTGAATATTATTGTATTCAAAACATCTTAGTATTATCTACTCAACATTTTGTGCGGTTCTACATCATAAGCTTGAGCATAAGTTCCCTATCTTCGTCCGTTTATGTCATGGTCTAAGTATAATATTATGTCTAGGTTCCTGTGGCGTGTTTGTCTCGAGACATTTAAGGCACTGCTTGCATGTTTTGGTTATTTGATTGAATCTGTCGTTTGCATTTTTGAAGGCTTTCCTTTCGAGGCGTTCTGTGTTCAAGATTCGTCGGCCAGCATCATATCAAGCTTTTCTCAGAGCAATGTTGGGCTACAACAAGAACGACAGAGGAGAAGCTCTTTGAAGAGGAGGAGGAAGAAGAAGAAACCGATGATGGTAGCATTGAGGATGAGGCAAGGCTGAAAGCATCCACCGATGAGACAAAGCCGAAAGCATCCACCGATGAGGCAAAGCGGAAAGCATCCGCCGATGTGGTAGACTCGAAGCCTATCAAGAAGTCAAGGTCACAGAAGTTTTTCGGCGTCAAAATCCCTTTCAGTATGAGCACAAGCGGGCGGAAAAGGAGGAGGAAGACCCCGCAGGCTGCGACGACACCGCCGAGGAAGTTCTTTGCGAAGAGCTCGGCAAGTTGATGTGCTTCTACAAGGAGCTGAAGGGCGACACAACAACAGCAGCAAAGACAACGATAAATGATGTGGACAAGATGAGCTTCACGGTCATCTATGGCGAGGAACAGGTCACGGCAAATGTTGAAAAGAACAAGCATGTGGCAGCTGTTCGCGATGAGGCTTGTCGCCAGATGAAGGCACGGCAGGAGCGCCCGGGCCCGGGCACGAACTGATGCTTCCCGGCGCTTGGCTGCCTTTGCATTGCCTTTACAGCCGGGCAAAGTAGAAGAAGTAGTAGTTTTAGCACGCGTAGTAGCAGCGGTGGGGTAGTAGCAGCGGTGGTGGTAGTAGCAGTACGTCGCAGCCGTCGGCGCGGTCGTCGTAGTAGTAGTTGTACTGGTAATAGTAGTGTCGTACTAGTAGTGGTACCTGCAGTCGTAGTAGTAGTAGTAGTAGCAGCAGCAGCAGGAGTAGTAGTAGTAGTAGTAGTAGTAGTAGTAGTAGTAGTAGTAGCAGTAGCAGTAGTAGTAGTAGTAGTAGTAGTAGTAGTAGTAGTAGTAGTAGTAGTAGTAGTAGCGGTAGTAGTAGTAGTAGTAGTAGTAGTAGTACTAGTCGTAGTACTTGTGGTAGTCGTAGGTGGTAGTAGTAGTAGTAGTAGTAGTAGTAGTAGTAGTACTAGTCGTAGTACTAGTCGTAGTACTCGTGGTAGTCGTAGTAGTAGTGGTAGTAGTAGTAGTAGTCGTCGTAGTAGTAGTAGTAGTAGTCGCAGTAGTAGTAGTAGTAGTAGTAGTAGTAGTAGTAGTGGTGGTAGTAGTAGTACTAGTACTAGTACTAGTATGAAGCTTGCAAGGCGGCTGGTCGAGTTAGACGCTAGCTTGGGTGGAGAGCGCCTAAAAGCGGTATCGGTGGCTCAGGGGCCGTTGCCTCCACCATCTGGCTTAGCTGTGACCTTTGTGTCACCTGCAGTTCTTCTTGCGCGTACGACTTCGCGACAAAAGGAGTGTTCGAGCTATAAACATTGCGAGAGCCTTGTCCGCTGCTGCATGCTTGCATGTATTTTCATGCGGGTTGCTTGTGACTTGTGATGGCTTGAACTGTTCATGCCGCTGGGTTTTCCTTCGAGAAGTCTTCGGCTGCTTTCCACCCAGCCCACTTATTTTTATGTTTTCTAATTTTTCCCCCGCAAAAACCACCAAAAGCGATTTCGTGTGGCTCCTTTTTCTTCTTTTGTGTGTGATTGCGTTTTGTTTCAAAATTCTTCCTTTATCATTTTATTTTCTTCGCAAAAACCACCAGAAAGCGATTTCGTGTGGCGTCTTTTCTTTTTGCGGTCGTGATTGTCTTTTGTTTTTTGCTGTGTGTGATTGCGTTTTGTTTCATGAGTTCTTCTTCTCTCATTTTATTTTGTTCGCAAAATCCGTTGCAGAAAAGAGCTCTTATGCACAACGCGCTACATCCAGCCGTCAACTGTTAAGCCAAAGCCGCAGCCCTCACAATCCGGAACCCTCAACCCTAAACCCTTAGCTCTTAACCGTAAACCCGGTAAGCCCTAAGCCCTTAGCTACTCCCCCAACCTTTAAGCCCTACAAACCCTCGACCCAAAAACCCAAGTTAATCTCCAAACTACCGACATCCCAAAAACCCCAACTCATCTTTAGTATAGAAGCCCCAAAGCCATAAACCCTACTAGGACCTACGAGCCAAAAATCCTGCACCCCGGAACCTGGCCCTAAACCCAAGGACCCTACGAGCTAATCTCGAAGCTCCTGCTGCCCAGAGCTGCGCTTCGAACTATGTCCTTGCTGGCTGCAGCTGCTCCGCGAGGTCCGATCGGTGGGAGGTAGGTTTTCGGGTTTACGGGTTGGGGTTTCAGGGTTTCAGGTCTTAGGGCTTTTTAAGAGATTCAGGGTTTTGGGTTCAGTCAGTAATGACAATCTTCAGGGTTGAGGGGCCTACAGGGTTCAGGATTTAGAGTTTTAGATGGGGCTTGGGGGTTTAAGCGCGGAGCTTCGGGTGTTTGGCTCTTAGAAACTGGGGCAGCGGTGTTTCGGATTTGGGTTTGTCGTTTCGATGTTGGGGTTTCCTGGTTTCACCCCACGATCCAGCAACTTCATTCGCAAGATGTATCTTGTCTCCTATTCTTTTCACATCAATGCCATTTGTGTAGGCTTTATGGAGCATTACTACACGGCCTTTGTGCTGCCGTAATAAGGACATGGTCATGGTTTGACGACAGTGATCGTTTCGATCCCAACCGTGAGAACTTATGGCCGAATTGCAGCTTGAGCCCTTCAGTCTTCGAACGCCCAGCCCGAAGTCTCGGCTGTAATATAGGGGCCTCAAAAGCTTTTTCGTCCCAATCCTTGACCCGAAAGCAGGGCTGGGCAGCACTGCCTGGTGGCTCCTTCCGATGACGGCACAAAATGTGTGGCAGAGGGACCGGACGGGATTCAGAGCAGCAGCAAGACGGCTGGGGGTTTAGAGTTTAGGTGCTGGGATTCCGCCTAGTAGTAGAGTAGGCAACCTTTAACCTTTTTTGGGTAGTATAGTCCCTTTATATATATATATATATATATATATATAGCCAAAAAGGTTAACCTTTAGTTCCCCATGGTACCCGACAAGTAGGTCCGGGTCTCGGACCATGTTGGGAGCAACGCGGAGGATTTGGACGAGTTGTTTGTTTTTTGCCCAGAGGTGGGGGGTGCGGGGCGGCGGGCGGGGGGTGGGGGGGCGGCGGGGGGGGGGGTGCATGCCAGACTTTAGGATCACAGCCAAAGCTTGGGTAAGGCCTTGCGACATCACGACCCTCACAGGTTAAGTGTTTGACGCAAGCTGTTGTCGCATTGACATGCCACGTGAGTTTCGACGCGACAGCAGTGGCACGTGCAAGCCAAGAAGCGACTATCCGAACTCACTCGCGTCACAGCAAAAGCTTGCGTTTGGGGTCTGGAGTCTGGGGTTTGCAGATTGGTTACGGAGAGGAACCCAGAGAGCCCAGTACCCTTTAATTAAGGAATATGGCTTACATTTTATAGGGCTTCATTTTATTATGATTTAAATTAAGGGGTATTGGGCTGTCTGGGAATGCTGTACGATGTTGAAAGCTAGCCGCTGGCTCTGACGGCATCGCCCAAGAGCAGTCTTTGTTCTGGTCCTGTCGAAGTTTGCTTCCGTTTCGTTATTCATGCCCCATGTCTGCAGTGCGAGTTTGAATCAAAGAGCTAAGCTAACCTGCACAGACCGCCGAGAACGACATCTTCTCTGCGTCAAGTCACTTTTGTAGAACTCGCTTGGTCGCCCCATTGGGGCTAGTTCGCAGGCCGGAGAAACTCAAAGTAAGCCCCTAAACCGTACACCTAAAGCGTGAAAGCTTGCACAAAGAATCGTGCCCCCGCTTCCTTTCCAGCTCCGTAGGATCCTTATTATAAGAACCCCAAAATAAGGTACCCCTAATTTTCAGAAACTCCCATATTAGGCCCTGTATCGGGGACGCGCGCTGAGGATCGTTCAGGTGCAGGCGCACTGTATCCGGTCCTTGGCCATCCGGCAGGTCACCGTCGCCTCGCCCTTAGCCGACTCGCTTTAGGATTTTACCTAGAGTCTCCATTGTAGTTCCTGTCGGGGGTTAACCTAAAGGTTACCCTATAGGATCCTGAATACTGATCTGGCTAAACTGAAACCGAAAACTCGGAACTACAATTGAAACTAGGCCTTATAACCCTGAATTCTAGGTCTTTCAAGCGCCATGGTCTTTCGGATCTCCCGGGGTTTTAGGCTTCAGGGAGCGGGCTGGGCTCGACTCGAGTGTGAACTGGCTGCATCTAGAAATGCTTCTAGTTCCCTGCAGTATTTTTCCTATGAATAACCCATATTCTTTGCCCGGCGGATTTCTGATGCTTCTTGCGTGAGGCGCATGTCGTGGACAACCCCAGAGGGTCAATCACAAATTCAGGATTTGGGGTCAGGTTTTAGGGTATTCACAATTGCGTTAGAGTTCAGTGCTTGGGGGTTAAGGTTCATGTTCCAAGCTGATATATCTGCAGCCATTGAAAGACGGGACATGGGATTGACGGCCTACATCCTAGGTCAATATACAAGAATGCATAGCAAAATTCAGAGATGTGTTAGATGTTTGTCCGAGTATCATGCGTGCCGTTGAATACTAACCGCTGTATTTGCTCGCGTACTTGTTCATGGAATAGCCTTTAGCTCACGTGTCTGTGGCCATGTTTATTTATTCACATGTTCTCGCTTATTGGATCTAAAGGCATTGAAGCCTGCATGAGGCTGTCTCGTGCAACAAATCGTGACGAGATTGAGACGTTAGGAACGATGTACGGCCCGCGGCCCGCAGCATGCTGGCGTTTCGAATGGTAATCAAGCTGCACCCATAGAACCCAGCGCCCAGGCACGGGGCACGTTGTGGTACCAGGAGAGCATCGCCAGGTGCACCAACAACTATCAGCTGTTAGGCGCGGCGTGGGCAGTCAGCGGATTTCGGTTGGGGGTTAGGACGGCAAACAGTAAAGCGTAAGGATTGGAACAATATAGGAGCCTGGTTGTGAGGGTTATAGGGCCCGGGAGGTTCCGACATTAGTCAGTTAGACGTGGGCCAGTCCACTCAACTCTACTATACGATCCCTGGACCTCAAGTCTCAGAGTCTTAGACCCCGGGGGGTTGCGACCCTATGAATAATCAGGTCCCTGGAAGCCTAGGAGAAGACATGACCCAAGATTTCAGGGAATTGGAGAGTGCTCTGCGAGCCATCGACCGGAAATCGGAGCCCCGCCACCATAAAACCCTTCATCCCAGAGAGCCCAATACCCCTTAATTAAGGAATATAGCTTAAATCATATTATGAAGGCCTATATAATTTAAGCCATATTCCCTAATTAAGGGGTATTGGGCTCTCTGGGATGAGGCATGCCGGCCGGTCCTCTGCACTTGTCCAGAAGAAGCGACGGGGAAGTTGTGGAAAGTTCGGCAATTTTTCCACGCCTGCCGATCTCGGTATCCGAATCAAGACCCAGAGGCATGAAATGATTTTGCCTGTGCACTTTCAGTTCAGAGCGGAGGCAGGCTAAGAAGACTCAACGATTGTCGGTTTCTCGTTCGTCCATTTCGCCGCAAAGCCGCAAAGTCGTCCGACTCGAACAATCGTGAATCCGAAATCCCGAGAAATCTCAGTGAAGTCACCGGTAAAGCCATAAGCAACGAATCCCTAAACCCCGAACCGAAGCCCCAAACCCTATAATCCTAAACCCTTAACCCTATAATCCTAAACCCTAAACACTATCCACCTCGAAATTTCAGGCTGCCACTGCCGTGGCCGCAGCTGTGCTGGCGCGAGAGCCATGGGTCCTGCGAAGAACAGCTGCCACCTGCTTGCGGTAGTAGGAGTAGTAGTAGTAGTAGTAGTAGTAGCAGTAGCAGTAGCAGTAGCAGTAGCAGTAGCAGTAGCAGTAGCAGTAGCAGTAGCAGTAGCAGTAGCAGTAGCAGTAGTAGTACCCCTGAACCCTACCTACACCGCCAGAACTCGGTAAAATCATGGCCCAATGCCCATAAAAAGATCATTATTCTACATACAAAACCTTAAACCCTCAACCCTAAACCTTAATTCCTGAACCCTAAAGCTTTAAAAACCCACTTCTTGAGTCCAGGTAAGCCCGAAAGCCTGCTAAAACAGGGTTTACGGCTTTGGAGTTCGATCAAGCGAGCCCAATGGCTTTTAAGACCGCAACTTAGATTCCTAGTAGTAGAGTAGGTAACTTTAACCTTTCTTGGGCAGTATAGTCCCTAATTATATAATCCTCCTAGTAGAGTAGGTAACCTTTAACTTTAACTTTTTTTGGGTAGTATAGTCCCTATAGAATCCCCTCTATACCCAAAAAGGTTAACCTTTAGTTCCCCATGATACCCGACAGGTAGGGATTCGGAGTTAAGATGTACAGGGAGCCTGAGTATGAGTTGAGGTATCTTCTCTGATGAGTTTCGCACCAGTAGTCATACACAGGCCTGTTTCTGGTCACAGATGCCGGATGAGAACGGAGATGGCAAAATGATGTCCTTCATCACATCAAAATCATTGTAGCAAGACTGCCACAGCCACTTCTCCGCCATTTGAGGTGTAAGAGGTTAAAGAGAAAAGAGCGGGAGGATCGCGACGAAGAGCGAGTCAAGGTGCACACGTTGTGGAGCCATGGGTGGCGGGCAGGGTACAACCAGCAAGCACATCCTGACCAAGCCTGGTTTAAGGAGTAACTAATTGCTATCCCAGTGCACTTTGACAGTGGCTTTTTACCATCCACTCCTCCAATTCAGCTGCATGCAAATCTTCAAACTCAGGCACTGTGTGGCTGTATGGAGACTTGACAAACTAGCAGTAGGTAGCAGAAGGGTCCATCGTGAAGGGGCCAAATTACATGGGAGCCTAAAACTAAAGAGGCTTAGATTGCGAGCACGCCTGTTGGATCGCGGGGCCACGTCGGTAGTCCTTCCCCTTTAGGGGCAGCCTTACTTACTATACTTACGAAGTTCCTGATCTTTCAACGTTTAAACCCTACCTTCAGTCTCCTTTGTAGTTCCTTTCTTTGGTTGACCAAACTGATATTATAGGATCTTAACCATAAAGTTGGTTAGCCAAAAAAATGGAACTGCAATGGAGACTATAGGTAAGCCTCCAAATCTACTCTGGGCCTATGATATCATCCCTAAACCCCAAGCCCTAAACCTTAAACTCTTAAACCCGAAGCCTACCTCTCAGGTAAGGCTGTTGCCACCAACAGCAACGACCAGGTCGCATCTTGACTGTGGTGTAAAGACTCTGGGTTTCAGAGTCATCTTTTAACCCACAAGCCCTAAACTCCTGAACCCTAAACCCCTTGACCCCAAAGCCTACCTACCCCAAGCCCGAGCCCGAAGTCCCGAGAAGATGAACTTTTTTTACCTTGCCGCTTCAAGCTGGAACTCTAAAGCCCGAACCAAGCTGTGCTAAGCTCTCAAGGCCCACCACACTCAACTCCCCATCCTACATCCTCAGTGTATTGAATTTCTCCGTAGCATTACTATGCTTTGGACCTGGCGGCCTTTGTTGACCGCGGCTGCCTTAAGTGCCTCTACTGTTTATTTAACATCTAGGTTCCTGAGTAGTACGCGTTTGCCATTTTTTCATGTTGGGCTCCCTTGCTAAACAGATTATTTGGAAACTGGGTACCGTTGTTATTGAAGGTCTACTGAGGAACCTAGACTTTCTCGTGTTGTTGTCCATCGGATTACAACAGGTTGCAACTATGTACTGTCTGCCCCGAAACCCCAAAAGACCTTAAACACCTTACGAGCCTCAGCTAAAACAAAGACCTTAAACCGACAACCCCTAAGGCCCTCCACCACATCCTTAAGACTACCAAGAGCTCTCAGACCTTGAGCAACCGACCGAGGTTGAAATCAAGGAGTGAGGTAGTAGTTGAGACTTGCACCTCAAAGGTGTTTCCTTACCGGTGATCCTACTTATCAGCTTTCTTATAACCGGCGTACTATGCCCAATGATCTTTGAAGCGATCCCTAAGCCTTAAGCAATCCGAGCCTTCTCATACCCGGACACGTCAAAGAGCCGACCCAAGGTAGGTGGTTGTCAAAATTAGGGTCCCTTCCTACGTCCTTAATATAATACGGCACTATACGGCACCTAATATGTAGGGTATCGAAAAACGGACCCTGATTCTGACAACTACTCAGGTAGTACCTACTTTGGGGTCTAAAGTCTATAAATACTACCTACTTTGGGCTTTTGGAGCCCATTAGGGTACCAAAACGGGACCTTAATTTTGACAACTACCCAGGTAGCAGTAGCGATCTGTGCCGACCTGGCGACCTTTGGAGACAGCGTCTTGCCCACGGCAGAGTACCTGACCGGCGGGCAGGCCAGGTGGGGAGTTTAGGGTTTAAGGTTTAATAGGCTTATAGGCTTTAGGGTTGGGGGCCAGGCCAGGTGGGGAGTTGAAAATGCTTGAGCTTTGTTTGGGGGGATATCTGGTCTGGGTTTGCGTGTGCCGAGTTGGAGACGATGTCGTTGTTGAAGTGCAGGGATTGAGGTTCGGGTTTGTAACATTGTAGTGTCTCGAGTTCAGTTCAGGTTTAAGGGGTAGTGGCTTCAGGGTCTAGTTTGCAAGTTAGTCTAGCGCTTTAGAATTATGTTGTCTTTCGGAGTTATGCGTATCGGGTAAAGTTTGGTTCGGAGTGGAACCCAGACACTTTGAAGCATAAGCCCTAGACCCAAAACTCCTAAACTCTTAGGGGCGCATCTAATGCTTCTTCTAAGTAGGCTTCTTCGCAGCCGGGGCACCATTAAAGGAGCTAAATAAATCCTGGTAAAATCCTTCGCTGAACATGTGATAAACTGGGTCCTCAGGTGGCTCAAGCATGCCAAGCTTTTTGTAGCCTTTTCTAGCTTTTTCTAGCCTTTCCTAGCTTTTCAATGGAATTCCTTAGCCGGGCCCCCGACCCAAAACCAGGAAAAATCTAGCTTTAACCAGGAAAAATCTAGCTTTTTCTAGCTTTTTCTAGTTTTATTTAGTTTTACCTAAGTTTTTCTAGTGGATTGGACACCACACTGCATGCCACACAATTCCAAGGTAACTCCAGGAAAATCCCCCGCTCAACTAACTGTCAACCCTAAAGCACCAAACAGAACCTTCAATCATACATCCGAAAACTGCCACCCTGAACCCTTTATCTTCATCCCAAAACCCTCGCCACTATCTCCAAACCCTGAACTCCTGAACCCAAAGTCACAGGTCCAATCGAGACGTCATTGCAGGAAATTATTATTTTTTTTTAGCTATTTATAGCTTTTTATAGCTTTTCTTAGCCTTTAGAAGCCTTGCCTATGTTTTTGACATGTTCCATGGTTTTCTTGTACTTCTCCTGCAATGCTGAAGCGGCCCGCTTGGAAGAGACATGTGATGTGCTCCTATGATAAACCCTGTTCTGTATTGTTATGCAGTTATACACCCTATGCGCAGCCGCGAAACTTGGGCACAAGACCAAAAGTAAGGACCACTTGGGCCCTTAAAGGTTTAGTATACCCAGGAAGGATTTAAAGTAGAAGCCCGAAAGTTGGAACATATTTATCCTCATGCCCTTAAGGTAACATGCAGGTCAAAATAACATCATCCTTAATCCTTCAGTATAAACCTGCAGCCTCCTAAACCCAACAAATGGTCAAGCCCTTAAACTCTAATCCCTAGAACCTGAACCTCAAAACCGTGCGCTCGAAATGCTTTCAAAGAATCGCTCAACTCTAGATAATCCGGCAAAGACCGTGAACCCTGAGAAAATTCAGGACATATTTCAGCAGGTCAGACAGAGATGCGATATCAGGCACGCAAATCGTTTAGATAAACGAGCCAAGTTGCACAAGTAGTGCGGGATACCTGGTATGACTTCAGACAAGTTGCTTAATTATGCGTTGTAATTGGCAGCCCTCTGCAAAAAAAACGCGAACACAGAAACGACGTGGGTTTACCACCAGTGCCGGACTGTTTCAATGTTCTCCGTCCCGTGCTGTTGGATTCCAGGCTTGGCTGTCAGGGCTTCTACTACCAAGGGAATCAGTGGACCCTGAACCCTCAACTCTACCTCAAACCATCGGCCCTAACCCCTGAACCTTAAACCCTGAGCCCTAAAGCCTGAAGCCTAAATGGTGGGCCCAAGGTCTTGGATGCAGACGGCGCGGGTATCCAGCCCATCCAAAGCTTCTCTGTCGGACTTGGAGAGGTCGTGTTGGTTGTCTTAGCAGGATTATAATATTGATGTGGCACGTTTGTATATGCTATTTGGGCCTGTCGGCTTGAGTTTTGGGGTCTCGGTGTATGGGGACATCTGGGTTCTTGCTTGCAGTTTGGCTTCATCGTTTTTGTCTGCCTTTTTTTGCTAACTCTTTGCTGACATTGGCACGCACGATATTCATAGGTTGACATTTCATGCAATTTACAATGTTCAACATGGGGCGTGAACAAGTGCTATACGAAGGCCCTGTGTAACAGTGGAGTTCCCGATACAATTGACACCCTCGAAGGACCACGCT